GAGTGTCGTTGGCTCTGGTGTACTGTCTGCTGTATGCCACCATCTTCAGTGTGACCTTTGTGCAAACTGCATATTCAACCTTCCGATTTCCCTCTCTGCCTCTCATTAGGTTGTTAGGAGGGGAAACAGTATTGATCTGAGAAAGAAAAAAAAGCCATTTCAAAATATATGTAATTGGTTGACTTGCTGTAAACCTGCCAGCTTCAGCTGGATGCCTGGGTAGAGAGCTGTGAACCTTCTCCCCTGCTGAGGGGGCAGCTTTGAAGAAAGGATGCATCCATACATACCTCTAAAATGTCTAGTTCATAGCTTTCTATGCTGCTTGTATTCACTGGGGCTAGCACAGTGAGAAGCTTCAAGTGTTGACCCTAGAACTGATCCATTTTGGTTCAAATCCTGGCTCTGCCACTTACCAGCTAAGTAACTGTTGACCTTCCTCCACATCAGCTTCCATGTATTAAGATAAAGTGTGATCAAATACCATGTTGAGTTATTTAGATATATAAAAGAGGTAAAATACATAAAGCCTTTAACTCAGATACACATCAAGTGCTTGATGAAGTGGTTTAGTGTTATTATTATCTGTATAATAACTTCAGATACATACATGACAAACATATAGTACAAGTTATATAGAGTAGCACAAAAGCCTATGCATTGGAAGGAATGTTTTTGTTTCTTTAAATGCTGGATTAAATATTTGTTCTAAGGCAACATCTTAGGCAGTCTGTATATGCCAGTGTTGTTTAGCACCCTATGGGCAGGTGCAAGTATCCACTGTATAAGTGAAAAAAAATGTGCACATCAGACAGGTTAAATAATTGCATGGCATTGCACAACTAGTAAGTAACAGACTGACATTCCAGCCCATGTTCATTTTGGAGCTGGGACCTTTGTCCTGCACTTTACTCTTGCACCTGTTCTCTCAGCTTTCTAGTCCTCCCAGTAGCTTTGCAACTTTTCATGTAAGACCAACTTTTATGTCGGACCCCAGCTTTACCAACACATTAAGCAACCTAACTCACATTTCATGAAAACATACTCAGTGCTCTGTGGATGGGATTCCAACCCTTTCTGTTCTATTCTTAGGTTCCATTTCATCCTAATTCTTGCTTAAGCTTTCTCTTAAAAAATTACTGTGTCGCACCAAAATGACCTGGGGAACATTTAAAGTAAAGCACTCGTCTGGCTTGAGAAACCAGCTGACACCCCCCCACACACACACTGCTGTACTTGTCAAAGAGTTACAGTGCACAGCTCTGAGTGTCTGACTGGAGCCACTCTTTTGGAGATGTCTGGTTATATTGTCTTCATCAGACAAAAGGGATGCAGACCCAGGGACATTGAATGATCTTCTGAGGCCTATCCCCAAAGAAGCTGCTGAGCCAGCACATCTTTTCCAACCTTCCAATTCATGATGGTGTTCAGGTGCCCACGAATTCCTGTGCTGCTCATCCATTCACTCATTAATTTATGTTGATGGATTGCCTTGACCAGAGATAGCAGGCATACGGTACTATCCATCTTAGTCACTCACAAAATAAAGAACCAAATCTTTACGTTTTCCTACCTGCAGATGCCCTTACACAACCTGAGCTGGCCCATCTCTGGTACCCTCTTCCACCCTGTCTCCCTCCTTCTCCATTCTTCACTCTCATTGCTTCCTCATGGATCCTAAGATACAGTGGGTAGACTCTCTTCTGTGGCCTTTGCATAGGTGGCTTTGCTCCAGCATCTTCCCAATGAGGTTTATCCTGAGCCCTGGATTGCAGTTGGAAGTCTTTTTTCCTGTCCCATCTACTGACAACCCAGTCTTTTTAACCTTTGTTGTTTTTATGTAGCACTCACAACCTTAGGCACTCTGTTTATTACCTCTATTATTATCTTTAGCAATATCACTCTGCTAAGTTGAAACACAGAGGCTAGGGGGTTTTGTTGGTTTTGTTCATTGCTTTTCTCTTCAGCACCTGTAATCTGCTTCCTAGTAGGGCTCTGTAAATATTTTTTTTTACTTAATGGATAAATGGATAAACAGATGGGACAAACTATCATCCAGTTAAATATATAATCACAAACTATGATGCGATCAGAGGGGACAGCTACAAAGGTTCACAGAAGAATATAACAAGAAGACATGACTTAGATTGGGTGGGTTAATTTAGAGGAAACAGTTTTTTTAGCCTGAGAACATGAGGGGGATTTTAGTTTCCTGCAAATAGTGCAGGCCCTGCAAGCCAAAAGAAAGCAGAATAAAGGAACGATCTAACCCAAGTAGAACTAAGAAGAGGGGGTGTCGTTCATTCATTTAGCAAACACCCTTTGACAGAAGGAGAAATGTCAAATCTCAGGTGGACATTTCCCAAGGACCACGATACCTTCTGCCTCATTAGCCTCACCATAGATCTGATTCCTGCCACTGTTCAAATGTGGGAACCCAAATGTTAACACTCGAGATTCCCTGCATTCAAGAATCAGAGCTGGGTTTCTAAATAGTCTCTTTGGCTTCTAAGTGTGTGCTCTTTCATTCTCTGGGCACCTACTGTGTGTTGCTCATGGTACCAGGAACAGGCTTACACAGCCCCTGCCCTGAAAGAGTTCACAGCATGCCTTGAAAGACATATCAGAAATCCTCCAAGTTGAGACACAGATTTTTTCCCCCTGGTCCCAGTTATTTCATTTCTGCAAATGTCCTTGTTTTGGGTTCTTGATGCTTATAAAAAAGCAGAGAAAGGTGATTAGACTATCCAATATGACCACATTGGAGAGAGGGAGTCTATCTTGGGGGTTATTGTCCTGGCTTAGCTTTAGATAGAGGGAAAGCCATATGAACAACTAAGCTGTCCTGCTCAAGTGTGGTCCTACCCTGCATCCTGTCCTACCCATCACTGTCTTGGCTCTGTCCTGAAGGATGGTCTGACAGGTTGACAGACTGTGCATAATCTCTTCCCGAGAGGCAAGTTCCTCCTCTGCCCAGGCACCAGTTCTTCAGCCTCTGCTTCTCCCAGGGTGGGGTTTCTGGGGGAATTTTAATTCTTTGGGACCTATTATTTCCACAGTCTGACAGTTGATGGAAAGGCACAGGTGTCTCTTTAGAATGTCATTTCTCCTGACAGGAAGGTCATGATTTCAGGCCCCTTGTTTTTAAACTTCAGTCTTGAGGGACTTAGGGAAATCTGCTGGATTTGCCATGAAAATGCCTGAAATATGCCTGTGCAAACATCAATATTTGCTGTAACAAAATGTCTGAGGAAAACAATTTAAAGGAAAAAATGTCAATTTTGGCTCATGGTTTCACAGGTGTCAGTCTATGGTGACTTGAACCCACCAACCATTACTTCCATTGATGAGGCAGAACACGATTGTGTATAGAAAGGAAGGAGGGCTAGGGAAGCAGCCAGAGAAAAATATACCTTTCAAGATCAAGTCCCAGTGACCCACTTTCTCTAGCTAGGTACCAGCTCCTAAAGTTTCTACTGTCTCCCAATAGCTTACTAAGTTATGACTCATAAGCAAATGAACCCAGAAGCCTCATGATCCAACCAATTTCCCAAGTCCCCACCTCTGGACTCTGTTGCACTGATGTTTTGGGTTGAATGTGGTGGGTCCTCATAGACTCACAGATAGAGGAATTGGCTGCCAGCAGACGGACCTATGGGAAGTAATTGGGTCCTAAGAGCTCTTACCTAGGCAGTGGATCAATCCATTCACAGAATGATGATGTGTAACCAGGAAGTGGTGAAGTAGGAGGTAGAACCAATAGGGTAAGTAGATGACCCAACGATGTCCTGGGGACTATTATTTGTCCTGGCTCCTTCCTGTGTTTCCTCTGTCTAGTTCCTGTCTGCCCTCAGCTGAATTGGTCTGCCATATGTTGCTGCCACCATGATGTTCTGCTTCGTTCAGGTCTAATCTAAAAACGTGGAGACAGGTGACCGTGGACAACAACCATGAGCCAAAATAGACCTGTCTTCCCCTTAAGTTGCAGTCTTGGGTTTTTAGTCACAGTGTCAAGAAAAGTAACTACTACAGTTAGGGCTCAAGCATTTAACTCATGAACATCGGGGGAGACATTCCAGGCCCAACCACAGCAATGTCTTCCTAGGCTGCTATTTTTCTAACTTTGATAACTGGTGGATTTTGCTAACCACCAAATCAGATGTCTGCCACCTAGTACCTCAAAACTCCGTGGCTTAAAGCAACAGTAAACATTTATCACTTCACAGTTCCGGTCAGGGATTTAGGCTAGCATACCTCCCTAAAAGTCTAATATCTGTTCTCAAATGAAGTTACAGTCAAGTGGCCAGTGGGGACTGCAGTTTCCTGAAGGTTTGACTGAGGAGAAATAGTCTTCTCCAAGATGATTCATTCACATGATTAGGGAGTTGTTGCTGCGGATAAGGAGCTTTGGGTCTTCACCAATAGGCCTCTTCTGTAGTGCTGGTTGAGTGTCTACACATCATGGCTTCAGTAGAAGACATAGTCCAAGAAAGTGCAGAGTGGAAACTGTAGGATCTTTTGTAAACTCATCCTAAAGTCATGCATCCTGTGGGTTACTCAAATTAGCCCAGTCAGGAGGTAGTACAGGAGGGCATGAATATTAGGAGGTGAAATCACTGAAGAGCCAACATGAAGACCCGCTCCCACAGATACCTATTACTGTAAAATTATCCACCCAGTATTTTCTACTTTTTGTTCCAGCAAACCTTGTTCTAAACAATAACATCAATTATGTAGTAAGATCTATGTGTTAATTATATTTTCCAGCACAAATGAATTTCAATTTGTAGTTATTAATTAAAAGTGATTTCATTCCACCTGTGCTAGCCTGCATACTTACAGTGGCACAAGGGTTACCCTTAAGGGAACACTAGGTCTTGCTTGAAAGAACATGCCAGAGTCCTGGTAGTTTTAATCATAAACCCCAGCTACTCCCTGCTCCCTATGTGGAGCCGAAGAAACTATTGGGGTACTGATAATTGCTTTCTTCTCTCTCTCCTCAGGACCGCCTGTACTTTGTGATGGAGTATGTGAACGGAGGTGACCTCATGTACCACATTCAACAAGTTGGCCGTTTCAAGGAGCCCCACGCTGTGTAAGACAGGCCTCCTGCTGTGCCCTTTCCTTGGGATAAATGGGTGTCAGTTCCTTTGAAGTTTTAGCCAATGAGGGATTTTCAGTGGCTAAAGCTGCCTCTTTGTGAGGAATATTTGGCCAAGGAGGATCTTATTCTGCTTGTTTTGGGATGATTCTTTATGTTCCTGAAGGGCAGCTAAGAACTCAATAGCTCTAAAGCGACGGCTGTTTCATAATCTCTAATTTTTTTGCCCCTCAATCCAGAGAAAGGTCTTCTATCTTCCTCAGAGAATGTCTTTGCAGGGATTTGTTTGTTCATTTGCTAATATTTATTGAGAGCATTCTTTGCACTAGACCCTAAGTACTGAACAAACATGGTCTTATTTCATCCTGAGTAGCACCGGGAGGGAGATAGATTCACCCAAGCTTTATGAACAAGTGAACTGAGAGCCGGAGGGTGAGCAACGTCAAGATTCTGGGCCTAGTGGAGGATCGGTGTAGGTGAGGCCCAGCTGTGTTTGTTCATCTGTTCCCACCTCTTTCCCACTGACTCTGAGGGACATAAAGGATCAAGTTGATTAGCAGCCCTGGTTGTAGGTTCTCCATTTTGTTCCTCCCAATGCATAAGGCAGTAAGAGATAATGTATAAAATAAAAATCTCACCAAGCTTTTTCTTTGCTTAGAACCCCGTGGGTGAGCAGGAACAGAAAAAGCCACAGGAATGAACGTCAATTCCCTTCCTGGGTATTTGTTTAGATCTTATTGCTTCCCCCAGAGAGTCCTGAAAGCCTCTCTAGGGCCTTACCCCACCCTTATGGGAGGGCTATGGGCTGTGTTCCTATCGGTCTTCTTCTCTCCCCACCTGCTGAAGTCAGGAACACTATGGTATCATAGGACTGCTTCTTCTTTTCTCTCTGACACCTGGTTGACCCAGGTTTAATTTATCACTGCGTGACATGTACTATTAGTACTCAATACAGCTCCCTGAGGTCCAGTCAACCCTTGTGGTATAACTTTCTTTTTCTTTTTTTCAATGTTCTTACGGTCTCTTTCATGAGCCAGTCATAGTGGCCAGCCCTTGGGAGGCTAGGCAGGGAGATTTAAAGTTTGAGGCAAGCCTGGGTTACATGACAAGTTACAGAGTTACAGGCCAGTTGAGCTTCGGAGGGAGATCAGATCTCAAGAAATAACAAAACAAGATCTGAGGATGTGCCTAGCTGCACAATACTCTGGGTTCTATGCCCCTGTATAGAACCTGTACCCCTAGAACCACAAGAAAAACCAACAAATAGATTCCTGTTTCCTTCTTGGAAAGTTATCCTTGAGATGCCAGCTGTTTCCAGTCCTAGCTGGACCACTCATCTGCTGTATGTCTTCTCCAGGCTCTTCACAGACATCATTTCTAAGACTCAGTTTCCCATTTGAATAACAAAGGAGTACTAGTAGAACCTATGTCATCAGATTCCAGGTTGAATTAAAACAGAAAATGATGCCAAGTGCATGCTAAGCTTCCAACAGCTGCCTGGTGCTGTCTCTAAAGTCCTTTAACAATCCTTCTCTTCCAGCCCACCCATTCCATAGGCCCCTCCCCACTATGAAATTGCTGACCTTTCACCCACTGTAGTCTGTCACTCTGAACTATCTTGTTCACCCACCCATGTGCTCAGCAATTTTTGAGTTGTACAGCTGGCCATCCATAGTAGGCTTTCCATGCCCTGTGCCTTGTTCAATATTACATCGACTTCTGAGAGTTGCCAAGCATATGATGTCCTTGAGTTTCTCCATCATCATTCTTTTTTAATTTCAGATTCTATGCTGCAGAGATTGCCATCGGTCTGTTCTTCTTGCAGAGCAAGGGCATCATTTACCGGTAAGTGAGCATGGCTGTTCTTTCTATCTCCTCGGCTCCCTCAGCTCCTCCCTTCCTGCCTCTTTCTTCAACTGCTTTTAAAATTAGAATCTGTGGTGGGGGAGGAATTCTCCAGTACTAACTTGGGCATGTGTTCTGCCAGGCAGCATCGCCCACTGCCCTGGCAAAGTTTGGGCAGCTGTATGTGGTGATAGAAAAATCTTGATGGACTGTGTCACCCATGATTCTTTGGGACCTCAAACATGAGGACACCGAGTCTCTGAGAAGAGGTGCCTCTGACAAGAGGGTGCCAGCACTTTTCTCCTGGACCCCATATCCAGGAAGCATGCAAAGAATTAACTGCAGAATGTGGCAAGATTGTGTTATTATGCAACAATTTTTCTTGCATGTAGCTGCAATTTGGAAATAGATCTCTGAGTTGCTTTCCCTGAAAGACAGGATTAACTTCAGAAGTTGGCATTTGCCGGTTTGGGGAGAAACAAGTGTGTGATCATAGCTATATGAGTCATACCACTTTATATTTCATGCAAGGCAGGGTAGCAAGCCTGAGGCTGCTATGTGTCAGTGAGTCCAGGGTGTACAGTTCCTCTATGTGCTCCGTAGATGAGAGTGGCACAGGTTACAGGGAATTGACTGACTGTTACGTAATAGGAACTGGTGGGGCATGTGCTTTTATCAGTTCCTGGCATGGGCACGGATCTATTTAAAGGCCCCTGCAGAGTCCTATAAGCCCATTTCATTCATTTGTTTGACAAATACTCATCAAAAGCCTCCTGTGTGTTGAGTACTGTTCCAAGTAGAGGAAATAGAGAAGGGATGAAAACGGTAGAGCAAGAGACAGAAGTGAACTATAGAGAATAGAGTTTATGGACTATGATAAACAACATGGTGAAATGAAAGGGGGTTCCTGGTGCTAGGGTATGGATAATCACCTCTCTGACATAGAAAGAATGGAAATTCTTGCCTGCAGTTAGAGATAGCTGGGGGTCCTGAACCCATTACGCTAGAGTTGAAGGATATGGGACAAACTGCAGGAAGATACCAACTCTGGTTATCTCCAGGCAGGTGGAGGTAAAGCTAGAGTTGTTAGGGGAAGGAGCAATGGAAGGTGGAGCCTTGCATGAGTCCCACAGAGACCCAAAGTTGTATTTACTCAGCAGCAGTGGTATGGAAGTGTGAGGTGAGGTGATACTATTCCAAGCATGGCACATCCCTTTTTTCCTGATAAGGAAGGAATTAATGCAATGGGGGAAAGAGGTTTTTATCTGCTTCATAGATTGTCCAGTGGAATAAGGAAGGAATTAATGCAATGGGGGAAAGAGGTTTTTATCTGCTTCATGGAATCTCCAGTGGTTGTACAGAAACAGAAAGGCAAATAATTTCATTTTAAATTGTTTGGTCATCTTACTAATGATTGCCCTCAATGAACATGCACCACCATGTCAGTATAACATGGAACTCCTTCAATCTCTCAAGCTTGTTCTGGGGTCATCTTGTACTTAATGTAATTCTGGCCTCAGACAGTATGCACTATCTTATATATAGAAGGTACATCGCCATCTGTGTGATGTGATCCTATATTCA